TGGCTGTGCTCTCCCCAGCTCCGGCAACTCCAGGCAGCCTGGGGACATCGCCGTGGGGCTGCAGCATCCCCAGCACTGGCCACACACCACAGGCGAGTTGCAGGATTTAGTGCAACTTGTTTTGCAGGGACCTGGAGTGGTGGGAAGGGATGTGACACTTGGTTTTCCTGCTAAGGGTGGCATTGCACAGCCCCAAACCGACACCTCCTCCTGCAGCGATGCCGGGGGTCCCTGGGGAGAGCCCCTCTGAGCCACTGCATGGCCACATCCCGCAAGGGCCGCGCGCTGCCTGCAGAGCAGCCCTGCATGAGCGGCCGCGCTCAGCCCGCTGTGGGGTCCCCGCTGGCACCGTCCCCAGGGCTGCTCTGTGGGGCTGTGTTGTGCACAGCTGCCCCAGGGGCCCTCCAGGATCCCCCAGCCCCTGTAAAGGAGCCGCGGGGAGCCCAGGGAGATCATCATCACCCGGGGGGCTCACAGCGTCCAAGTCTGAACAAACTGCAGCCCGCGAGGCCATGAAGGCACCAGAGTGCAGGGCGACAGGGCTGGGCACACATCTGGGGCTGGGCACACATCTGGGGCTGCATCCAGGCAGCACCAAAGTGCCCCTGAGCAGCCTCTCCAGGGCGGCATCGCAGCCCCCAAACACATCCCGGACCCGGCAGCCCCAGCGCTCATCCTGGCTGTCCCACAGCACCGTCCCGGCCCTGTAGCTCCTGGAGAAGCGGGACGAGGAGAAGGGCCACGCTGCAGTCTGCCCCAAAGAGCTGCTGCCGCCGGGCCCGGCCACCCGCCTGGAGCCCCACGCGGCCCCAGTGCCTCCCCTTGGGGAGCAGCCAGGGCTGCAGGGAGCACAAGCTCCATGCTCAGAAAACGGGACACGGCAGCTTGTCCCCAGAGCATAGCAGGGAGACGGGTCTGTCCCACACGTGTCCTGCCTGTGCTGGCCAGGACTCGCTCTGCTCCAAGGGCCAGCTGTTACCTTTTCAAGTGCTCCAGCAGAAAGAGGAAGGTGATGAGATTGGGGTCAGGCAGCGAGCGGAGAAGGTGCATCATGCAGTTCTCCTTGGCAGCAGGATCCGAGAGGGCTGGCAACAAGGAGACAGAGCTCAGGACGGGTTGCCAAAACCCTGCGACCTGAGTCACTGCAGCACCCAACGGGCACATGCGAGCGGCTGCGTGTCACCAGGCATGGGGGAATAGCAGGTCTTGCACTAACCCCACTGCCAGGAGAGGTCCCAGGGTGCCCAAAGGGTGCCCAGTCTCCAGCATGGCACTGGCAAGGCTGCCCCTGGCAGCTGATGCCAAACAGAGCTGCGCTGGGGCACCCAGCGCTTCCTCACCCCGAACACTCACCGATGCCCTCCATGAACGCGGGGTAGAGCCTGTCAGTGAGGAGCGGCTCGGGCAGCTCGCGGAAGTACAGCTTGAGCGTGCCGGCGATGGCGTTGATGTCCATGTCGCTCAGCATCACCAGGATGTCCTTGTTATCTGCCCAGAGAGCACCCACGTGTGACACCCTTGCTCTGCTCACGGACACCTGCGGCACCTCAGCTGCTCCAAGCAGGCTGGGGGAGCAGGGAGGTACCGTGGGACCACAGTCCTGTCACCCGCTTGGGGCTGGCACCAGAGATGCACCAAGAGCCCTCTGGGTTTGCTGAGCCCCAGGAAGAGGGACATGTGGACTAATGTGAGCGTTAATGCAGCTCCTGGTTAGCTGGGCCTGGGAACCGCCGGGCAGCTCCGGCCCGCCCAGGCCATGGCACGCGGAACAATCTGCAAATCCAGCTGCAACGTTTCCCTGACTCAGTGTCTCCCCCGGAGCCGGCCAGGCGTGGACAGGGATCAGAGAGAGCAACACACAAACACTGCCGAAAATAGGTCAGGGCAGAGCGAGGCTGCTGGGATCCTCGTGCTGGTGGGAGGCCAGTGCACGAGCCCGGTGGGTGAATTCCCCTGCTGCGGGGCAGCAGTTCCAGCAGCCAAGGCCCAGCCACCCAGTTCCTTCCACTACCACCTCCTCCTGATCCCTAAGCCCCTTTCTGGGGGCATCTGTGTCTTTTGTGCACGCATGGTGCCAGCTCGCAGGGCCGGGTATCACAGGGGGTGACTGCAGAGGAGCCAGCAGGGCTCTCTCCGTGGGGCTTGGGGTGCTCGGCCAGCCCGGCCTCCTGCCCAGGTGCTTTCTGAAGCTTCAACCCCAATCTCTGCCGAGCTCAACCAGTGAGCACCAGCCCTGCCAGCTCAGCTGAGCCCTCCTGGAGCAACGGGGCTCCCGCAAGCAGGACGGGGAGAGACTCGCTGGGCCACTCACTCCCATCGAAGGCTGCCTTGAGAGCCTGGATGTCCGTGGCGACGCCGGAGATCCTGTAGATGCCGACCTCCTCGATGCCCCTCTTCTCCACCTCCTCGATGCACTGGCGCACGATGTAGGGCACCTTGGAGCGCTCACGCCTGGCTCGGAACGCGGAGGGGGGAAACACACCGTGAGCGCGGAGTGAGAGCGGCCAAGCCCCGAATCCCGCGGCTCGGCGCGGCGGGAACCTACTTTGTCACCACGCTGATTTTGACTCCAAAGACGCCGGTCTGCTTTTTGGACGGGGTCCTCTTCAGGCTCATGTCCCGGCTCGTGAACTTCATGGAGAATTCCACCTTGATCTGCGGGAGCCGCGGGTGGGCACGGCCGTGAGCTCAGCCCCGGTCCGCACCACGTGCCCCGCCAGCCCCAGCAGGAAGGTGCCCGGGTGGCAGGAGGCTCCAGGTTGCCCTCGGCCCCGCTTACCCCATTCATCTCGATCACGTCCATGTGCCAGTTCTTGGTCTGCACGGCCTGCGGGTCCAGCTGCAGGGAAAGAAGGGGCGTGAGGTCCCCCCGCGCTGCAGCCCCGCGTGCCCAGGGCCTGCTCACGGCCACGGAAGCCCCCGGCCTGCACGCGATCCCGCGCAGCCGACCGGAGACCCAGTGGGACGGACACCTCCCTCGCCACCTGCCCCGCAGGGCAGCACGAAGCCCCTGCCGAGCCCCCAGCAGACCCGAGCAGCAAGAAACTCGCAAGAATCACGACTATTTCTGGAGGCAGATTGATTAAAGAGAACTAGGGCAGCGTTTTCCATGCAGAAAAACAACATCTTCCGATAGCCAAGGCTATTTATAACCCCTGGGAATGACGAGCTCGGCTATTTCTGGCTCGGGGGGTTGCGGGGGACTCTGCTGCGCTCCCCGCGGGCCCGGCCTGTTGCAGCTGAGGTTCTGGCATTCCCAAGGCCCCTGGCACGTGCCGGGGTGGCTGCGCAGGGCTGCCTTGGGTGTCCCCATGCCCAGTGTGTGGGCAGAGGATGCACAGGGCTGTCCCGGCCCCCCGGTGACATGGGACACAACCCAGAGTGACAGCAGCCCCCAGAGGGGCCGGGGTGATGAGCTCCGGCTGCGAGTGGCTGCCTGGCCCTGGCTCTCCCTCCTGTGGGGACAGGGTCTCTGCTCCTGCCTCAGGGAACAGGGCAACGCAGCAGCCGCCGCACCAGCCCTCGCTCCGACAGCCTCCCGGGGCCTTTGGTCCCCGGCTGGTGGCATCGATCACTCCCCATCGATCCACGTAATGCAGGGGACAGGCGGTGCGCGGGCAGCAGGGACGAGCGTGGCACTAATGTCCCCGCCGGGAAGGGGACGCGGGACGGGTGCTCCTGGGGTGCATGCGCAGCCGCCCAGAGAGGCTCCAGCGGTCACCGCTCAAGGACACAGGGGGTTCCCCCCGCAGCCGCCGGC